AGGTTTCATGGATCCAAGTGCTAAGAAACAGCTGCACACCCCCACACTTAGGCTATGCACTGTCTTCAGGGCATGTTATTCTAATTGAATGAATGAAAGCTTAAAAATGATCCTAAACTAAATGCAAAGAGTATGCAAGGAAAATAAAAGAAAAAAAACTGAATATAAAAGAAAACTTAAATGTAACTAAAATGCCTGTTTTTTTGTTTTTGTGCTGGGTTGCCTCCTAGAAAGCTGAAGCTGCCCTGTTTAGTAGTCCCAGCTAGACTTTACTTGTTTCATGGCTCCTCGAGGAAGATGTCCTCGACCTTAGCACCCTGTTCACCTTGGTGATACACCTTCAATCTATGCCCATTAACTTTAAAAATCTTATTAGTATTGAAATCTCTAATTACCACAGCACCATGAGGGGAAGTTTCTAACACTTCAAAGGGTCCAAGCCATCTAGACCTTAACTTGCCCGGGAACAAATGCAATTTAGAGTTATACAACAGCACTTTATCACCTATGTCAAAGTGTTTCCTAGTGAGTTTTGCATTGATAAAGTCGTTTTATATAATTTTATCCTCACATTTAACATAGTTTTTTGATAATTTTTCTTCTCAATTAGAAGTAATTTTTCTATTAAAAGTCATATATCAATATTTTTGAGTAGTAAAGTTGAATGGGTCAAGAAAAATAAAAATGTTACATTTCAACAAGAAATTAGTAATATTTTCCTACTGGAATGGAATTGGAAGTTGGAGCAAGAAAGGAAGGTGTTCAGAATAAATTTTGAAGCAAAGCATGAGTTTTGGAGCCGAATGCACGACAGGCGACCAGGCAGGCGGCCGCCTACCAGGCCGCCTGCAAAACATCGGCAAACGGCGAGAGTTGGCTCTGGCGGTGAACTCGAGCGCAGGCGGGCAGCATTGGCTCCGGCGGTCTAGCAGGCGGCCGCCTGCTTGACCGCCTGTCCACGTTCTCGAACCTTCGCCATTCTGGAAGCTTCCCTTCTTAGCACTGGCGGGCTGACAGGCGGCCGCGTGTCTGCCCGCTTGCGGTTCTGCTCGGGTATAAATACCCCACTCGGCCCATTCCTTCACCACCACTCCAAAAACCTTCACCTTTCACCTTAATTGAGTTTGAGAGTTCTTCTAAAAAAGTTTAGAGTGTTGATTTGAAGATATGTGAGTCTTGTATTCCGTTCTTCAAGATCTGTAAGCTTTCTTGTAAACTTTTCTTTTATTAATAAAATTATCTTTTATACTTGGTTTGAATTGTGAACTAATGGCTTTTAGTGGCTAAATTTATACTTAGGTATGCATTGAATTAAGGATATGGGTTAATGATTAATAGTTAAAATTAAGTTAGTGACTTAATTAATTTGATTCAATTGTCTAAAATGAGATTCACTAATTAATAAATCTAGCCAATTTATTAATTAATCCTTGGAGATTATTCATCTAGCTTGTCTATGTGTTAAGAAAAATAATCTAGCCAACCATATTTAGACACATTAATGAGGCCTGAAAAATGGATAAGTTAATGATATGGGATCAAATTAATTAAGAAGTTAATTTAATTCAAAATTATTATCTTAACCCATATACCTGTTCAATTCATACCTGTTTCTAAATTATTGATTGCATTAATCATTTACTGCTATTGCTTTGAACTTGATTGCTCTGGATTAATTGCTTTGAAGTAGAATATTAAGACAATTAGCAAATACTTCCCTTGGCCAATCCTTGTGAGACGACCCGAGTTAGTCTCGGTTAACTTTATTGACTTACTGCTATATTTTAGCTCCGTCAATTGGCGCCGTTGCTGGGGATTGGCACGGTTGTCGTTTGTTAATTAGTTGTTAATAAAAATAAAAATAATATAATAATAATAATAATAATAATAATAATAATAACAACAATAATAATAATAATAATAATAATAATAATAAAATAATAAATAAATAAAATAAAATAAAAATAAATTTTAATTACTCACGTTTTTTATGCATACCCGTTCTTCTAGTGCTGGAGAAATATGTATTATAAGCATGGCCAATTCAGCAGAAGAGAAATATGTTGAGTTGATGGAGTTGTGTGATAAAGCTTTACAGGAAGAAGAGAATGCAGAGCAAGTTTTGGGTGTTCAGGCTGAAGAAGAAGAAGAAGAAGAAGAGAATGAACCTGAGCCTACTCCTGAACTAAAACCCTTACCCTCCCACTTGGAGTATGCATTCTTAGATGAAGAAGAGAAGTGCCCAGTCATTATTGCATCCGACCTAACCGAGGAGCAGAAGGGTAAGCTAATTGATTTGCTTAAGCTTTATGGGCATGTTATCGCTCGAAAGCTTGAGGACCTTAAGGGAATTAGTCCCACCTTCTGCACCCATAAGATTTTTATTGAAGAAGGGAAGAGACCTATGGCGCAACAACCACGAAGGTTAAATCCCAATCTTAGGAAGGTCGTAAAGAAAGAGATCATGAAGCTCAGCTCTTAGATGCAGGTATTATTTATGCCATCTCTGATAGTGACTGGGTAAGTCCGATTCATGTGGTACCTAAAAAGGGAGGGATGACTGTCACCGCTAATGATAAGGGAGAGCTAATCCCTAACAGGTGGTGACCGGGTGGCGTATGGTGGTAGACTATCGAAAATTAAATGATGCCACCCGAAAAGATCATTTCCCTCTTCCCTTTTTAGACCAGTTAGTGGAGAACTTAGCTGGGCATGGGTATTATTGTTTTCTCGACGGGATGAGTGGGTATTTTCAAATACTCGTTGACCCTGCCGACCAAGAAAAGACCACTTTTACTTGTCCAATAGGAACATTTGCTTACCGGCGAATGTCGTTCAGTCTCTGCTATGCCCCAGCTACGTTCATGAGGTGCATGTTAGCCATATTTGAGAAGTTTATTGGAAAGTTTATGGAAGTATTCATGGATGATTTTTCCATTTGTGGAGAAACCTTCGATGAATGCCTACATAATCTTGAGAAAGTTTTGAAAAGATGTGAAGAAACAAATTTAGCCTTAAGCTGGGAGAAGTGTCATTTTATGGTGAAGGAGGGAATTTTCCTTGGCCATAAAGTGTCAAAAAGGGGAATTGAAGTAGATCGGGCTAAGGTTGAGGCAATTGAGAAATTACCTTATCCATCTTCTGTTAAGGATATTCGTAGTTTTTTGGGGCATGCAGGATTCTACAGAAGATTTATAAAGGATTTCTCTAAAATTGCCAAACCCTTAACCCGATTGCTAGAAAAAGAGGCTGAATTTGTTTTCTCCACCGAGTGTAAAGTTGCTTCTGATACTTTAAAGAAGAAGTTAGTAGAAGCACCGGTCCTTACTGCCCCAAATTGGGCAGCACCTTTTGAGATAATGTGTGATGCTAGTGACTTAGTAATTGGGGCCATTCTAGGACAACGAAAGGATAATCAGTTCAGGCCCATTTACTATGCTAGCAAAACTTTGGCAGGACCACAACTCAATTATACTACTACTGAAAAAGAATTTCTTGCTATTGTCTTTGCTTTAGAGAAGTTTAGGTCTTACATCTTGCTTTCTAAAATAATTATCTATACTGACCATTTAGCGATTAGATATTTATTGAAGAAACAAGATTCTAAATCTAGACTTCTACGTTGGGTTTTATTATTGCTAGAGTTTGATTATGAAATTGTAGATAAGCGGGGTTCTACTAATCAGGCAGCCGACCACCTTTCTAGGTTGGATGTGGGATTAGTAGACCAGTTTAGTAATAATGAGATTGAAGAATTGTTTCCTGAAGAGAGACTTTTATCCATAACTGAGACCCCGTGGTATGCTGACATTGCTAACTATCTTGTTGGGAAAGTTATACCAATTGATTTTTCTTATCACATGAAGAAAAAGTTTCTCTCAGAAGTTAAGCACTACTTTTGGGATGATCCTTATCTATTTCGAATATGTTCCGATGAAGTAGTGCGTCGTTGTGTCAATGAGTCTGAAGCTCTTGATATCCTATCGCATTGCCACTCCGGGCCCACTGGAGGTCATTTCTCTGGTAATCGGACTGCCCGTCGAGTGTTAGACTGTGGATTCTATTGGCCTACAATTTTTAAAGATGCTCACAATTTTGTTAAGTCTTGTGATCAATGTCAGAGAGTTGGGAATATTTCTAAGAGAGATGAGATGCCCCAACAATATATATTGCCATGTGAGGTTTTTGATGTTTGGGGCATTGATTTCATGGGNCAACATAGATGTGGAGTAGCATATCATCCCCAGACCCAAGGGCAAGTTGAGAATACTAATAGGGATCTTAAAGCTATACTAGAGAAGACTGTAGCGCATTCTAGGAAGGATTGGTCTGATAAGTTAGATGATGCGTTATGGGCTTTTCGGACTGCTTATAAGACTCCAATAGGAACTACTACCTTTCACTTAGTCTTTGGAAAGTCCTGCCATTTTCCAGTCCAAATTGAGCATAGAGCGCTCTGGGCCCTAACGAATGGGTGTCTCGATCCTTCAACTACTGGGAAGGAGCGTTCCTACCAATTAAATGAGTTAGACGAATGGCGGACTTTAGCTTTTAGGAACAATGCCTATCTCAAGGAGCGTACGAAGATTTATCACGATAAGTTTATTAAAGCAAATCGTGAATTTAATGTAGGAGATAAGGTGTTGTTGTATAATTCTAGGCTTAAACTCTTCCCAGGAAAGCTTAAGTCTAGATGGACAGGTCCTTTCACGGTCACTCAGGTTTTTCCTTATGGTACTGTTGAGATTGATGATCCTCATCGAGGACGAATCAAGGTTAATGGTCATCAGTTGAAAATTTACCGCGGAGGAACTTTTCAAAGGGATACGAAAGTTTTTCACTTCCGAGAACTTGGATGATCATGCTAATTTCGTCGAGCTAGCGACATTAAATATAGCGCTAAACGGGAGGCAACCCGTCAATGCTTTACTATTCACATTACTGTTTAATTTTTATTCTTCACTTTATTTGTATTGCTTGTTTTTTTGTTTTGGTTACAGATGGCTGAAGAGGATTATGAGGAGGAGGTTCTCAATGTCACGCTGCCAGCTGCATTCGAGATGCATTTGCCATCAGGGAGCCCCGTAAGCATTTTCGCACATGGGGAAGGAAGAGAACTCTTCTAGGGCCACTCTCTCTTGATCAGGTGACCCTAGAGGAGTGGAACCACTGGGAGGAGATTGATGGACTACTCGCAGACTATGTAGCACTGAAACGGAGACGGGGACAGGGACGAGACAAAACGGAAACGCCGAAACGGCTATTTTGAAAAAATGGAGAGACGAAACGCCGGGGAGACGCTGAATATATATATATATATATATATATATATATATATATATTAAACAAAAATGTATCTCTCACTTGATTAAAGACATAGTTCGGATGCAAAAGATTAAAACAAACCAACGAGAAAATTCCAAGTCTTGTGAAAAAGGAGCAATATATATATATATATATATATATATATATATATATATATATATAACCAACTTTATTTTAGATTTATTCTTACATCGTCTATTGTGACTAATTGTTCCTTTCTTTCTCTACTTTGTCTCTATGTTTTCCACTTCTTTTGAAACAATGTTTTCTAGACCCTCCCTCTATTTATGCGTACTGTGATTTACCATTTTCTCTCAGGCAGGTGCCAGACTGCACGTATTGTGGGGCTAAGCGCATGGTGTATAAGCCCTTAGGGTTTTGTTGTAGCCAGGGTGAGGTCGTCCTTGCTTCAAATGAAATGCCAAGTCTTTTGAAAGATATATTCATCGGCAACGATCTTAAGGCGAAACACTTCCAATCTGCTAACACCTTTGCTTTTACTTCCATTGGTATATACAATTATGATAAAGATCTATGCAAAAGAAATAAGGGAATCTATATACAAGGCCAGATATATCATTTTCTTAATGATTTACTTCCTGATGGATCTCCTCCTCGAAATCTGCAATTATATTTTTTTGACAATGCTCAACAAATTGAGGATAGACTTGAAACATGTGATAGGTTGGATAAAGAAATTGTTTCTACCCTTGTGCAAGTGCTTTCAGAGAATCCATATGCACAATTTTTTAAAAGTCTCAAAGACGTGTGCTATGATGCTGATTTTAGTATCAAGATTAATAGTGATCCCGGTTTAGACCAAAGAGTTTATAATGCTCCAACCACTTCACAAGTTGCAGCAATATGGATTGAAGATGCAAACAATGGGACTTCGGAAAATAAACATATCAGAGTTTATGCGCATAGTGGTGTTTCACAAAGTATACGCTACTTTTATGGATGTTATGATCCGTTGCAATATCCATTATTGTTTGCTGGGGTGAAGTTGGCTGGCATACAGGCATTGATAAAGTTCTCACACGGATACAACATCGACCAGTGGGAAATAGCCACACTACTCCTACCCCAGATGTTAACCTTATACACAGTGTTGAAGAGCTTATCGAAATGGAAGAAGCTAATTTTATAAGTGGGCGTAAAAGAAAAACAGTGTCATGTATAGAGTATTATGCCTACAAATTGCAAGTACGTGGAATGGATAATAGCTATTTGTTGCACTCGGGTAGGCTACTTCAACAATTTATTGTAGATGTGTACATAAAAATTGAGACGCAGCGTTTGGATTATTATAGGCTTAAGCAACTTGACCTCAGATCGGAGAAGTATCAAGGTGTTATTGATAGTATGCAAATGGGTATGGTATATGGCGATGATATTGGCCAACGTATTATTCTACCTGCTTCATTTATAGGTGGACCTCGTGATATGCGTAAACGTTATCTGGATGCCATGGCTCTTGTTCAGCAGTTTGGAAAGCCAGATCTTTTTGTAACAATAACATGTAATCCCAATTGGCTAGAAATTAAGGAGTTATTAGAACACAAAGATGAGGCGCAAAACAGACCTGATATTGTCTGTCGGGCTTTTCATACTCGGTTGCAAGAGTTCAAAAATGACATAACTAAGAAAAAGTTCTTTGGTGATATAGATGCGTATATATATGTGATTGAATTTCAAAAGCGAGGATTACCTCATGCACATTTTCTCATTATCCTAAGGGTTTCTTCGAAAATACAAACTTCCTTTGAATGTGATAAGTTCGTTTGTGCAGAATTACCTGACCCAGAGAAACAACCACGTTTGTATGCTCTTGTTAAGAAACACATGATTCACGGTCCTTGCGGTGTCTTGAACCCAAATTTCCCTTGCATGATAAAAAAGGGATGTTCAATAGCTTCTTGTAAAAGTAAATTCCCTCGATCCTTGTGTGAAGATACATCATTCGGGGAAGATTCATTTTCTATTTACCGTAGAAGAATGACATCAATTTCAATGGATGTAAGAGGCCATCAACTAGATAACCGTTGGGTAGTACCATACAATCCATAATTACTCTTGAAGTTTGACTGCCACATAAATGTTGAAGTTTGAGCTTCAGTTAAATCCGTAAAGTACATCTACAAATACGTTTACAAAGGTCACGATAGAATAAGCGTCGGAATTTCCAATAATAAAGACTCTCTTGAAGTTGACGAAATAAAAGACTTCCAAAACGCACGATGGGTTTCTGCTCCAGAGGCGGCATGGAGAATTTTTGCATTCCCAATTGCTGAAATGCATCCTTCGGTTATTCAATTGCATGTTCATTTGGAAAACTTCCAATATATCAGTTTCTTTGGTAACCAATGGATTACGAAGATTGTGAAGAATGATGAAAAATCAAACAGAATGTTAACAAAATTTTTCGAAATGAATTCGCATGATATTGTCACGAAAAACTTACAACTTTTTTATATTCAATTTCCTGAATACTTTGTTTGGTCAGACTCAAACAAAAGTTGGACTCAGCAAAAACGCAAACATGTCATAGTTCGTTTGGTGAGCGTAAATCCAACTGAAGGAGAAAGATACTACCTTTGGTTGTTACTCCAAAATATAAGAGCTCCAACATCCTTTGACAGTCTAAAATTTGTCGACGGTCAGTTAGCGTCAACATTTCAAGAAGCTGCTGAGAGAAGAGGCCTCTTAATGGGAAATTTTGCTGTTGACACTTGTCTTGAGGAAACTATCGTGTATCAACTGCCTCATAGTCTGCAAAAGCTATTTTCTATTCTTTTAGTTTTTTGCGATGTCCTAGATCCAAAAGCAATATGGACAAAGTTCAAATCCCATTTATGCAAAGATTATTATCACACGGGACTTTATACTTCAACAGAAATAGAGAAAATTGTTGTCCAGCTCATCGGGATGTAATGGAAAACTTCGGAAAGAACGTCACCACATTCAACTTCATTGACCATGAAACCCCATTAAATCAAGCAGAAATCCAAGCTCGAGAAATTAGATCAGAATATTGCCTGCAAGTTAGCGATTAAGATCTGCAATCTGTTCTAAACCTGAATAATGAACAAAAAGAGGCATTTGATTGCATCATGGAAAGCGTTCTAGCAAACAAACCTGCAGCATTTTTTCTCGATGGACCTGGTGGTACTGGAAAGACATATTTGTACAGAGCTTTATTATGCACAGTCCGATCAAAAAAATGGATAGCTTTAGCAACTGCAACATCAGGAATTGCTGCTTCAATTCTCCCTGGTGGCCGCACAGCACATTCGAGATTTAAATTGCCACTTAATGGAGATGGTCGATATGTATGCAATATTGGAAAACACAGTGCTGAAGCTACATTGCTTAAAGAAGCAAGATTGATCATATGGGATGAAATTATAATGGCTAATCGGGGAATTATAGAGGCCTTAGACGTCACACTAAAAGATCTGATGGATTCTGGTGAGCTATTTAGGGGCAAGGTAATAGTTTTTGGTGGAGATCTAAGGCAAATTCTCCCATTTGTAAAAAATGGAAATAAGCAAGACTTTATTGATGCTTGCATAATAAGATCTCCGCAGATATGGCCAAACGTAAAACGGCTGACATTAGTACAAAATATGCACGCACGAACTGATCCTCTTTTCTTTGAATATCTCATGAACATAGGGAACGGAACTGAACCCACCATTTCTGGATCCAAAATTCGAATCCCTTCGAGATTTATTATTCCTGGAACAAATACAATAGATGCACTTTCCGCACTACTTAATGATGTTTACCCAGACTTAAATATTTTCCAGCAAGATCCTTATCTTTTAATGGGTAGAATAATATTGACTACTACAAATGATAATGTAGATGAAATTAATCAGCTTCTTATTACTAAATTTCCTGGTGAAGCGAAAACTTTACTGAGCTATGATGAAGCATTGGATTTGAAATACAAAAACTGCCAAGGCTACTTGCATACTCTTTCGTTTGCAGGCTTGCCACCTCATACTTTAATTTTGAAGAAAAATTGTCCTGTTATACTATTGATGAATTTGAATTCGTGCGAAGGATTATGTAATGGGACGCGACTCATCTGTGACACTTTTAATGAACATGTTCTGAGTTGTTACATAGCAGTTGGTGAACACAAAAAAACATGTCTTCATACCTAGGGTTCCTCTCGAAATCTCAAAAGACGATCACTGCTCAATTCCTTTTAAAAGAAACCAATTTCCCATTAAACTTTGCTTTGCAATGACAATCAACAAATCACAAGGCCAAACACTTGACTATGCTGGAATATATCTAAAACAACCCGTTTTCTCTCATGGCCAATTGTATGTTGGTATGTCACGAGCCAAAAACGCGGATTCAATTGAAAATACTTATTCATGATGATATTAAAAAAGAAAAGCTAACAAATGCCACTGCCAATATAGTATACAAAGAAGTATTAGAATACATTTCAATATAAAAAACAAATGTAAGCCCATCCACTCAGCTAACACATAGATATTTCATACTGCAGTTTCCAATCCGTGTAGGCTTATTTCTCATGGAATAAGTAGATCTAGCAATTAAACTCTCTTTTAAATCCAGGTTTGCCGATGGATGACCACCAGCTCATCCCAGAAATAACTCCACAATCAAGAACATGGACATGCAAAGTAACAATTATTGAGAAACTCAATACTCGGGACTCATTTCGAACCCCAGGGAAAAATATAAGGCTATGATCATGCAAGACATAGCGGTAATACTGATTCCTATGCTAACGTTACACTTACCAAACACATTATTATCATAACACCTTTTTCATGATGTTCTTTTTCCAGGGAAACAAAGTCAAAGGCATGACATATAATGAAGACATCCTCGTCATCGACGAACGCCTTCAACTGCATGAAACTTACCTCATCTCAAACGCTAAAGTTTCCCCAATCACCAACAGTTTCGGTTTCCCCGACGACAACTATAAATATCTCTGGACAATCAACAGGTGGACAATGATCCAAGACTCTGATTCGGACCAAAAAATCATTGTCCAGACTGCACTTCCAATGGACATAGATCCATTCTCTACATTCTACAATGCTATGCAAAACAAAAAAAAGATCAGTAAGTCAACTATATAAATGTGCACGAGGCTCTGATACCACTTGTTGGGAATTAAACACACAACACACACAAATAATCTGCGAGAAATGAGAGAAACGGAACACAAACGACACACAAGAATTTAACGTGGTTCGGTTTCCCTAATCCACGGCTATAACAGGAAGATTTTCTTATTTCACTTGTGGTGCAGATTACAAGTACAAGCCCTCTATATATAGGGGGAAAACTAGGGCTACGCACAACTGGGCCGGGCCGACAAACAAGCCTCCACAAATCCCAACATATAGGAACCTTTGGAGGTTGATTAAGGGTAGTTTGTTAGTACTTAGTAACAGGTCTCTTGTGTTCAATAGTTTTTTTTTTGGTTTATGGGTTTTTAGGTGTGCTGTTCTGGCATACATTTTTATTTTTATCATATACATACTGCTTGAGCTAGGGGTCTTTTTGGAAACATCATCTCCACCAAGCAAGATCTGCATACATCTACCCTCCTGAAACCCCATTTGTGGGATTCCACTAGGTTGTTGACCATTGGAAAATATTGTGGGAAAACTGAAAAATATAGAACACCCTAGATATAGTGATTATGTGATACCTAGGAAAACACTTTTCATTTTCTTATTTGATTAAGATTGTTAACAGTGATCTAAAACTAACTATCTGAGAGTGGTTTTATGTCACAATGATAGCCAGTCCTAAACCAAATAAAGAATAAAGTTGTGGTAGTTTGACTCTCCTTGTATAAAAAGACACTGATAGGACCATGAATAAAAAATAGAATTCCATTGAGACCTTTCCTACTCAATGGCGTGTTACACTTCTCAGGCCCTCGTAGCATAGGATCAACAATGCACCACATCTCTGCCCAGGTGGTCCCAAATGAGCTAGGGTATTCTGATCTAGACATTGTAAAGGTAAGTTTGTAACTCGTAAGGATGCCGAATTACACCACAAATGAACTTAAATGAAGTGAAGGCTAAAACTTTTGCATTGTTAGCTTATAAGCTTTGGTATACGACTATATATGGAAAGACAAGATTAGGGATAAAGTTGGGATACTCCTTGATAATCGACTTAATTGAGATGCACTTGAAGATTGGTAGCATTTTTAAACGTTATTTGTGGTTAAACGGTTGTTAATATACTCTATATGTACCAAAGCACCACAAATGAGGTTAGAAGGATAGGTTTAAAGTAGTTTTGTGATTACTCAGACATGTTAAGCTTATACCATACAGGAAGAAAGAATTCATTGGTGGGGACTTCAATGGTTCAATGAACATATAGGCATAAGCCACAAGGATTTGAGACTTTACATGGGGATTTGTGTAGGAAATGAAAGAAGAACAATGACTACCAATTTGGTCACATGTGTAATAAAATTCCAAAATGACCGTTTTATTTTTTGAAAAATGTCTTGAATCCAAAATTCAGCAAAGGGCCCTAAAAAATCACGAAAAGTGTTAAAGGAAAGAAAATATTTGGTAGAATATTTGGAGATATTTGTGTATATATTATTTTTGGTAGTTTCCTTGTATAGGGTTGATTTCGTTTCCTTTTGTGATTAGGTTTCTCAATCTGTGAGAGCCTATATATACATGTCTACTTTGTAAATTGAACACAAGAAATCCAGAGAGAATTTCCTCCCAATTCATTATTCTTTCATAATTCTTTCATGGTATCAGAGCCAAACCCCTAGAAATTTTCTACGACTACTGTTCATGATCGCCCGGCATGGCGTCCATCGATCGTTGCTCAGTTTTAGTCGGTTGTTGCTGTTTCCGGATAACGGAACGGTCGACCGTTGCTCTAGAACGGTCGAGCACGTCGACCGTCCCGTCGGCAGATTATTTGATTGACGCTGCTGTTGATTCTTCCGCCAACGCCGTACGCCACTCTGCTACCGCCATGGCCGATGAACAACCAAGGAAGATGTTTTTCTCGCTATCATCATGTGTTTCTAGTTTGAAGCTTTCAGGTATTCCTGTGTCACCGCGGTGGATTATAGATACTGGGGTATCAAATCATATGACTGGTGATATTTTGTTATTGTATGATGTTGTGGGAATATCACCGTGTGAGATTTGTTTGCCCAATGGGAAAAGAATTCTCTCTGTCCAATCGGGGAAGATTAAATTGACAGAAACATTAATTCTACATGATGTTTTATATGTCCCCACTTTGAGTTGTCATTTAATCTCTGTGTCACAATTGACAAGGGATTCGAATTGTGAGACACGTTTTGCCAACAATAATTGTATACTACAGGATCTGATTTTGAAGACAGAAATTGGTATGGGTGAGCAGGAAGGAGGACTTTATTACTTTAAGGAGCCTGAAAAGAAGATGGTGTGCAGTGCGAAAAAGGAGAGTAAGTTTGATCTTTGGCACAAAAGACTTGGACATCCTTCCTCTCATGTTTTGTCTCTTGTTCCTGAAGTTGGAACAAGTAAGAGAAGTCACAGTTGTTGTGACATTTGTTTACGTGCTAAACTGACTCGTGGGAGTTTTCCTATAAGTTTTTATCAATCTGTTGATAAATTTGATATGATACACTGTGATTTATGGGGACCATATAGGACTCCAAGTCTTGATGGTTCTACAATGTTCTTGACTATTGTGGATGATTTTTCAAGAGGTGTTTGGGTACATTTGCTTGATTCCAAACGCAAGGTTGGCACTGTTTTTAAACAATTCTGTGCTATGGTAGAACGACAATTCGGGAAGAAAATAAAGTGTGTTCGCAGTGATAATGGCA